AAGATTGTCAATAATCTTGCTTATTAATTGTTTTCAGTCCAGCTCTTTATAGCCTGCAACACAGCTTGCTTCACCACTTGGGCATCGATGCCATGTTCAGCTTCACCTTCATTCTAAAACATTAATAATGCAGCCATTAATTAACATTTAGCACAAGAGTGTGCATATGTAAACTACCAACAATATGCATGTCTTTAAAGGAGTGATTTAATTCATAAAAATTTGAGATTTTAAATTGAAAATGTTAGGTTTGTACTTGATACAAGTAACAAAGATTTAAGATGGAAAATGATTATTTCTATTGTATAATATATCATTAAAAAAATAAAAACCCCAACAACCTACATATGTTCATGAAAAGAAAAAGTCTAGAGGTGAAATCAAAACTTACCAAAAAAAAAATCTAAAACTTGCTGTTCAAACATCAGATAATGATGTCTGTATTTAGGAAACAAAAACCACAAAATTGAAAAAAAAAAAAAATTAAAATGCAGGAGAAGAGAAAAGCCATCAAATGAAAACTTCGAAAATTAATCAAGAGAAAGCGCAGTAAAATGGGAAGGAGAAATTTTCGTAATATCAACTTGCCTCTCCTCCAATTGCTTCTAGTTGGAAATTTTCTGCACAAGAAACCTTAGCATTGAGCACATCAAGGCCCAGATCCTCAAAGGCTTCAAGTATGGAGATAAGCAGGCCCGGACAATTCTTTTCCAATGACACATTAATCAGAAAACCCTTCTCTAGTGTTTCCACATTAACCTGCTGAAATTATTCAAAGCAATATACATTAACAAAGGCAGCCGCGATTAATCTTAATCAAGATGAGGTTTCAATTGGTGTTAGATGGATTTGTTTAAAGTCGTCCCTAAAGACAGACCAGTTTTAGGATGCTCAGGTCTTCACATTCTTTGATTAATATATACATACATGAATATATAATTAGAGAAAGAAATTGTAGATTTGTAGTACCATGGGTAACGGATTCTCAGAAGTGGAAGAAGGTGATGAAGTTCCAGTAACCTCTTGGTTCAATCGATCCACTTTCTTCTTCAACTTCTCTATGTACCTCGATGCATCAACAACAATTGACGTTTTACTCACCTGAAAAAATGAACATAAATTTAATCAAAGACAATAACAAGAACTGCATATAGGTTTTTCCACTAGTTGAAAGTGTATAAGAAATTTTAAAGAATATGAATTACGGCAGTGGAGTTTGTAGCAGCACGAAGAAGCTGTAGTTTCTTATAAAGAGATGCTCTCTTTCGCGAGCTGCTCATGTTTCTGGCTGTTATCCTCAGCTCAAAACTTTTCTGTCTCCTATTTGTTTCACAGCATGATTTTGAGGGGGTTTTAAAGGTGCAGCTGTTTAGCTCATAACTCAACCTTCATTCATGACATAAGCAATGTTTCTTTTTCCTGTCTGAGGGCCACCATTTCCTCATAACAAATTATTGGTTATCAAGACATATTTACGAAATTGACCTTGTAAGTTTTGCTGCAGTAATGAAGGAGATAGCATTTTTTATAAAGTTTTTATATAATTTTTATATATTATTAAATAAGTAAATATGAAGATATTTAACAAAATTTAAAGAGTACTTATTTTAAAAGCATTATTTATTTCTCACAAACTTGAAATTTTATTAAAAGAAAAATTAAAAATTTTCTTTTAAAGTGAGTTTTAAGCAAATTTTGAATAAAACTTAAATGTGTAGCTTTTTCAAAATTTATTTAAAATTCATTTAAAAAACTAATTTTGTTGTTTCCACTTAATAAAATTTTAAATTTGTAAGAGATGAATGATCTTTTTGAAGTGCTTTTAAGCTTCGGTAAACACCCTTGTTAGTAGAGGTATTAATATAATGAAAAAAATCAATTATAAAATAACATATAAAAAAAAATAAACCATTAAAATATGCAATTGACTGATTTGAGCTCTTCTAAATGGTCAAATCTTAATCAATAAAGTAGGTTGCAAAGTCTATTATTGATCCCACTATCAACATTTGAGTACACATTGTTTTTTTTTCATCATTCTTTTGAAGATAACATAAGCATTTATGTCTTTGATCGATTAATCTCTCAAATATTTACAATTATCCCTTTTGTAAATATTAGATAAGGCTACACTTTTAAAAAGTGGTGGGTGTAACTCATTTTAATTGTTTGCACCTAAATGACATTAAAGGAATTCAAATTTATATTTTTAGTATGGTTTGAATCATAACTCCTTAATCACTTAAATGGGTCTCAATAAGTTTAGACAAGAGTTCTTTCTCTCTCTTGTAACATGGAATGTTGGGATAATCAATGCACCGAAGAGAATAAAATTGTTGCGAACAACGTCAACTTATATAACAACAAAATAACAATAATTAATTTCAAACAAACGACTGATCATTCATGAATCATTCACTTCATGGATACATGTTCTTTGATCAAATGGAGATGAGTGTATTAATCCCTTCCGAGAATTCAAAAAAAAAAAAAAAAACTTAATTAACTTGATGCATAAGAAAAGAGTTAGTTATGTCAAGGACAATTTGGATTGAAGATGATCGCCCATTTTTTTTTTTTTTTCCATCCAAAGTTTTCCTGCGAAAGAGTTTGAATCCGAGAGAAATGAAAGGAGAAGCTGTGGGGGCCTAAGGAGGACGCAGACTGACTACATTCTGCATGCATGAGAGAGGGACAAAATGGCGATCGAGTGCAGAGAAATGAAATTATTCTCCCCGTGAGAAGTGTTTGGAGGGATTCACAGCTAAACATCCTTTGACGCTTCTTTTAATGCCTCCTTTGTTTCCATTGCCTGATTGCCTCCGACGATCTCGTTCACGAGTAGATTCCATTAAATTTCTCTTTGCACTTGGGCTAACTACATTGCTAGTCACTGAACTTAAACCCGTGTTTTCGTTTTGGTCACCCACTTTCAAAACCTGCTACGCATGAATCAAAAGAACTCGTATTTTCTTCTTGGCAAGTCTTCCAATTGTGACAAGTTTGATCAACATGGATCGAACATATGACAAACGAAGGAGCTGAAACTTTAGGGTGTGTTTGGTTAGAAACTAAATTTTTTAGAAAAGATTTTACTGGAAAAGTAATTGAAAAATTATTGTATAAAGATAAGTACCATAAAGAAGGTTACTTTGTTTTATAATGAGATTTTATTGAATTTTTTTTTAGGATAAATTATGAATTTTATTTATCCAAAGTAACAATACAATACAATAAAGTAGCAAGCTGCTACAAAGAATGAATACTAACAAACAATATCAAAATACAAAAATATGTGCATCTACCCTACAAAATTTAGCCTTGCACCACCATTTCAAGTCCCCATTGACACGCAATGGCCATAGGCAAATGGGAGGATCTGGGTAGAGCAAAACTCAGAATCTTACACCTAACGTCAATTTTTATTTCGTGTACAATAGCACTGTAATTTTTAAAAATTTTCTTATGAATTCTCTTGTTCCTCTCCATCCAGATACAGTAACTTACAGCATTCCATGCTAATTTGATTAAAACACAGTATTAGGATTTTCTTCTAACCTTTTTCCCCATCCAATTTAGTAGCCACTCCAAGAATTAGTGAAAGGGATGGCAAGCATGCTGTTGAGCTATTGCTATACTCTTCTTGCATAATTGCATTTGAAAAACAAGTGCTCGATCGTCTCAGAATTGTTGTTGCATAGGATGCATGTATTAGGGATAGCAGGAGTCCATTTCCTTTGCCTAGCCCTTGTGCTCAATCTGTTGAGAATAGCTAGCCAACTTATGAAACTATGCTTAGGAATAGCCTAAGAGAACTAGACTAGCCTATACCATATTTTGCTTATTTCTTAACGAGTTTCAGGTTTGCCCAGTTCTAAAAGAGCCTAAAGAGGAAGGTAACCATACTACTGAATTCTTCTCTACTTTCTTTGGGTAGAAACCAAACAAATGCATTTAAATTTGTACTAGTTGGGGAGATCTAGCAGGAGGTCATTGCCAAAAGCCACCATTTATTACTCTAGCTAGTTTTGCCTGGGAAGGCAGCCCTGCATCCTGAATAATAGAACTACCATACACCTGTAATAAAGGGCCAGAAGGATGCCAGTTGTCATGCCAAATATATATATCTTGTCCTTCATTTGGTACATGTTGAATAAGCTTCTTAGCCAGTTGTCTTAGCTTCAAAATTTCCCTCCATCCCCAAGAAGCATCAATAGGTATTTTAACAGTTCAGAAACTATTGCCCTTGAGTAGATATTCATGGACCCATGCTACCCAAACTGAACCCGCTTTAGAGAACAATAACTAGATATATCTGAGAATGCAAGTTTGATTCTAGTGCACCAAGTTTTTTAGTCCTAAGCCACCCTCCTGCTTGGGAGTACAAACAATAGCCCATTTTACCTTGGCCCTTTTAGCACTATGAGTGTTGTTATTCCATAAGAAGGCACCACAAATTTTCTCTACTTCGTTTATGACTCCTTTAGGCAGTGTAAAAATAGAACACCAAAAATTAATTTGTTGAAATTTTGTTAAGTTGTTAATTTTGTTGTGTTTGATAAAAAATTGATATAGGGAAAAGTAGTAGAAAAAGTTATTGAATAGGCCCAATATAAGAAGAGCTGCTGAAAAACCTTTTTCTTTCAAAAGAAGTGGAAAAAAAGACTTTATAAATTGGGAATTGTAGTAGAAAAAATAAAAAATAAAAATCTCACTTTTACCTTTATTTTTATTGTAGTTTTGAGGTGTGTAAATACCAAAATATCTTTGCCAAATCTTGGAAAGGGGTTATTTCTCGAGAAAGTAAACCAAAGACCCCTTAATGAAAGATGAGATTATTAATGGAGTGATGACTAAAGGATGGTTTAGTGACCCATTTGACAATTTTGAAAGTTAGTGACTGAAATGAAGGCTTCTCATAAGTTTGATGACTGCTAAAGTAATTAACTGTCTCTTTTTCTCTGTACATGTGACCCACTCCCAAATTGTGGGTGCATGCCTGCAGTCTTGGATTGGTCTCTTCGTGATAATGGTTGTCTTCTTTCGCCAAAATTTAGGCAAAATTATTCAAGTCATCATTAGAAGATGTTATACTTGAGTAAAGCAAAACCCTAATGGATGAGTACAGAAAATGTATGTGAAAGAGATTTTTGTTATGGGAAACTGAGCAATTTATTGTCTTCATTCCCACAGAAACAAAACCAAAAATGTACCCTCCAATTCACATGTATGACTCCTGATCATTGCAAGAAAACAGTCCCACGCCACTATTGATCTCTTTGTCACTGGTTCTTCTTTCCATTTTACTCTTCTTGGGGGTTTGATTATTAACGTTCTAGTTATCAATTGTTGAAGTTACTTGAGCTTTAAGTAAGAAAATAATCGATTGTATATCACAATTGTCAAACTTTTAAAAATTTAAAATACATATTTCCGTGATACAGCAGAATTTTTTCTAAATGATTTAGCAGAATTCTTCTCAAGTTAAACTTATAAATACATGAGACTATCAATATTTGGATGTCAAACTCTAGCCACGCAACAATCCAACACTTCCAGCTAAGTTAGACACATTAAACTACGGAAGGGACAAACTCTGTTTTCTTTCTTTTTATTAAAATAAAACGGGTATTCCGACAGTATCATAACAGGTGCTTAGGCAACAATTACATCCTAGAAATATAAACGTAGCTAGAATTTCCTCATCACCCAGCACTTCCACATATCATCAATGCTTTGAATTGCAACTACCACTTGCTTTAAAGGATTGATAAAGTAGCTGAAATTTGTGCTCTAATGCAAGAAAGAAAGAACAATTTGCCGCCTTTATCCAATGAAATGATCTAACTAGCTAAGACTAATTCTACCCATCTTTCATCACTCATTTCAGAATTTCTACATAGGAGTTCATTTCTAGATGACCAGATGGATCAAATTATTGAAAATCAAATCACATCCCAACGCTCTCTTGACTTTACACAAGCGTACCGCATAAACACTTCCCTGCAATTTGACAAAACATAATTCAAACCCCACCAATTAAGACTTCTCCTCCACAGTTTGCTTATAAACTCACACAACAACATCAAATGGTTATAATCAACCTCATCTTGCAAAATAATGCGTGTAAAGAATATCAGAACACGTGTTTTTGATTTTCTTCAAATTAATCAAAATGAAAGGACCCATCAACTTTTGACATTTCTTCAAATAAGAATTGCATACATATTTGTATGGGTTGGAATATATATCCTTTATATATTTCATAATGGCAAAACCTTTATCTTTTGCAGATTAATAGAAGAAAAGAAGACATGATTTTACTTTGTTTCCAGTACAATGATTATGTGGCTGAATGTAATTTCAAATGAACTTGTTTGTTCTCTACTAAATTCAAACAACATAATAGTCACCGAGAAAATTGGATGAAGTGGTTGATAGTTAGACATTGTGCTGGCATTGGTGAAACTTGACAGCATGAAGCCTTCAATGTCAGTTGAATG